CGAGCCTTTTGAAAATCGATTCAAATATGTGGCGATTCAAATCGGTTGAGATGCTAAACAAATCGCGATTCATTTAGAGGTAGGCGTTTATATGAATGCATGTCTGAGGGGCACTTACTGTCTTTAGAAAAGTTTAGATAGTATTTTTTCTTTTCATCTTGCCTCTGTATAATGTGTATTAAAGTTCATAAGTGCAGCGCTGCTTTGTTTACTGCGGAAACCAAGTTATCTTTTCTGACTCTGGTATTTACATCCAGAAGTGTATTGTTATTAACATGAAATCAAGCTTTTTTTCAGCCTGACTTTTGGGTTGGAAGAGCAAAATAATGCTTCGATGCAATGATGAAATAAAAAAATGGAGACGTCTTCAGTAAACAACACTGAAGTTTTTATTAGTTTATTTTGACTAGTTTGAAAAAAAGTTCTAGTTTACATTATATATGTGAATAGGCTACTGTGTATGTTTATTATGCATATATAAATACACACACATGCATGCATATATTTAAGAAAAATATGTTTCGTTTATATATAAAAAAAATTGTTTTTATATAATATCAATTCTTGTATAAATACACACATGTAGGTGCCTATATTTTTTAAATGTATACATGTATGTTTGTGTATTTATATATATATGCATAATAAATATACACAGCACACACACATATATTATGCAAACAAAAACTGTTATTTTTGATGCAATTAATCGTTTGACAGCACTAATATATATATATAACATATATATATATACATATATATAAAAATTTTGTATATATATATATATAAAAAAAAAAATATTTGACCAAAAATGCATTATTAATAGCTATTAATTTATTAATTAATGGACAAGCCGCTGTCCAAAATAAAAAAGAAGAGCACTTGAAAGTTCTCACTTGATTAAACACTCAAACATCAGCAACTTTTAGAGGCTCATTTCTCAACTTTCTGTGTTTTTGGCTTATCACTCTTCAGCGCCACCTGCTGATGCCGCAGTGCATGACCAGCAGAAAGCTGTCATATTTTATTTTATTAGTTTCAATAACTAAAACTGAAATAAAAATGAATAAAAAGTATATAGACATATTTAAAAAAAAAATCAAAATGACAAAAACACAACAAAATTACTAAAATGCAAACAGAAAATATAAAAGTAACATTCAAAATAATAATAAAAACTATATATTTTCATTAATATATAATTAAGGTTCCTAAAATAACACTGTAAAACTAAGGAGTCTTCAAAACTAAAACCATTAAAAAAAAAAAATCCTTTTCTTTTAATTAAAAAGCTAGTTACCAAAGCAACATTTATTTAGTTTAACTGCAATAACTGAAACTGAAATAAAAACGAATTAAAACTATAGACATATAAAAAAATTCTAAAAATGACATAAAATTACTAAAATGTGTGTAAACAGAAAAATAACAATAAAATGGAAACAAAATAAAAACATTCAAATGATAATTTTAAAACTATGATATATAAAACATTAATGATACTAAAATAAGTGCAGGGGTTTCCAAAACCATTAAAAACATTTTCATTTTAATTTACTTAAAATACACAGTAACTAAAATACAATTATTTAGAAAAAGCTATATAGCACATTTCATTTTTATTTAGTTGAAGTACTTGACTAAAACGGAAATAAAATTAATAAATATATTTTGACATACTGAATTGCATATTAAACTTAAGTGTGTAACTCACAATAAAAGATTCGCTATTATATTGCACATTAGTGTTCTCGCCGTTTCAATTACATTGAAGTCCATGCAAATAAACTTCTATTATATTCTCTGCGATATATGTCAACTCTGCTGATAATGTGTGTGACAGCCAGTGTTGGGTGGAAAAGCTTACATTCAGCAGATAGAAATATTGCATTTTATTGATATTATCAGGAAAAAAGATGATCTGAGCACTGTTGTGTAAGTTGTGGCTTTACCTTACTCTGGCATTACATCCCTCTGATCAGCATGTGGTACATTATATTAATATAATTAAAAATCTTTTTGGAAACTTAAACAGTTTCTTACAAACTTACGTGATTTGATAAAATACATGATATATATTTGTATATGGGTAATGGAGAAATTACAATTAGCTTCAAGCTACACGACAATTACTGAGATTAATACAACACTTCTACTTGAGTGTCACTATCAATCACTATTGAGTGTTTGTAATAACTTCTGACTGCGATCCAGTGTGGGTTTTGGTCAAATGATGATGCAGAAATATGTTGTTAGTAACATTCTAGATTAAGAATGTTATGTGGAAGATACACTGTTACAACTTCTGTGGGGTGAGAAGAAAAAGTAATGTAACTAATTACTGTTGCCAGAAAGTAATAAGTAACAATGTTACTTTTGAAAGGAGTAACTAGTAATATATTACATTCTTTGAGTAACACTGGTGACAGCACTATAAATAAAGTGCAAATGCAGTTTGATATGGAATCGGTTGCATTTATTGAAGCATTAATTACCACGACAACATAATCCGTATTCATAAATGCTACTTTTGCACTATAAAAAAACAATGTGGCGTTACAAAAAGTATGTATATACAAAAAAAGAAAAGAAAAAGTATGTACACACACAGGAATGGTTATACACAAAGACATCTACAACAAATAAAGATAGCGTTTCAAACCTAGTAAGCAGCCTATAGCTTTTTTAGGCAAGTGTGAACTTTTTCAGACATCTACGACTGCTCTCTCGATAGAAAGCGCTTCAGTTTGCATTGGATTCTACTGGCTTTCTGTGCTCTGTAGTTTGTGAGCGTGTTTCTGTCGGTAGCGCTCGGCCACCGTATTCATAAATGCTACTTTTGCACTATAAAAAAACAATGTGGCGTTACAAAAAGTATGTATATACAAAAAAAGAAAAGAAAAAGTATGTACACACACAGGAATGGTTATACACAAAGACATCTACAACAAATAAAGATAGCGTTTCAAACCTAGTAAGCAGCCTACAGCTTTTTTAGGCAAGTGTGAACTTTTTCAGACATCTACGACTGCTGTCTCGATAGAAAGCGCTTCAGTTTGCATTGGATTCTACTGGCTTTCTGTGCTCTGTAGTTTGACAGCGTGTTTCTGTCGGTAGCGCTCGGCCCGCAGCTCCTCGAAGCAGAACTCGCTGGCTCCGCTGTAGAGCAGCTCTCTGCAGTACATGCTCTGCTCTCGGCTCGTCCCGTCCTCCTGCGTCTGCAGCTCCTGCAGCATCTTCAGCGGCGTCTGCTCCGGCCTGCAGGGCTTTCTGACCGACAGCACCGAGTTCACCGCCGGGTCGATTTTACACGGAGTCCTGCAGGAAGAAATGACGGAAATGAGGTATGATAAGCATGTGAAGTCAACTTGAAATCAAAACTCATCCTATTTGACTTTGTTAATGCATGTTTCTCGTCTTATTGTGTGCGATTCATTAGTGCAGGGCACGGTTATTATCGTTAACCAAAATTAAAACTGTTAAAAATCATGTAACTTAAGAGAAATATTAAAAAACTTTTTTCTTTAAACTTAAGGCAACATTTCTCATTTTCGTTTAGTTTAACTTAAAACAAATAAAACAGAAATACAAATTAATAAAAACTACATAGATATATAAAAAAACTAGTAAAATTACAAAAACAACAAAAATGCAGAAAATTAAAAAACTAAAAAATATATTAATTAAAACTATACATAACATGTAATAATATACTAATGATACTAAAAATATATATATATATATATTTAAAAATAAAAAAGCTAAACATCTCATTTTTTATTTAGTTTAATTTCAAGTACTAAAATAAATAAAACGGAAATACAAATTAATAAAAACTACATATATATATATATATAAAAAAAAACTAGTAAAGTGACAAAAACAACACAAATGCAGAAAATATAAAACAACTAATTACAAAATATTAATTAAAACTGTTCCATTTACTTAAAATAAACTGTAACTCAAAAAATATATTTTTTTAAATATTTAAAAATAAAAAAGCTAAACATTTCTCTTTTTTTGGGGGGTTTAATTTCAAGTACTAAAATAAAAACAAATGGAAATCAAAATCTGTATAAAGGCATATTAAAAAAAAAAAAAAAACAGAACAAAACAAAGCAAAATTATTAAAACTTTAACTGAACTTAAAATGCAAACAGAAAATATAAAAATATATTTATCCAATCTTCTAGATGAAGTTTAAAAGGCATCTAGTATAGCATATATAAAAGACCACATTTATACTGTAAAAAATGTCTAAAATATAATTTGGAAAATATTTAGTTTCAAATTTTATTTAATTTTAGTTGGTTTTATTAATTAATTCATAAAAATAAATAAACTCTTATTTATAAATTTTTACATTTCTGACAGTTTTTCACTTTACTTTTCCATAGAGGCCCATGTAAAAACCCCTTCATTAGTGCATGTAATTATAAAGGAAGAAAAACTTGATCTTCAATGCACTGAGAGCTCGACATGCAGCGTATCTTCTGATTACACTCACACAGCGGGAGGCTGGTCGTCCTCTTCCACAAACGGCTGGAAGCTGGGTTTAGGAGGTGCGACGGCGACGCTGAGGCCCGATCTGGACTTCAGAGGCAACTGGAATTACAAACATTTACCTCATAATGAACGTTGATCTGTCAGATAACAGCCTCCGTTCTCCTTTATACTCAAACCCAGCCAGGTAACTGGATAAACGGGTGATATTAGCATACAGCTCAACTCTCGTACCTTCACATCGGTCCATTTCTCAGGCTTCTGTTCGTTCTCTTTGGCTCGGGCAGTAGGTGGCGCTGTCCAGACCTCAAATTTGGGCTCCTGCGTCTCTGTTTCAGAAGCTTTATTCTCATCAAAGATCACCAGCCGACTGTTCTGTTTGGGGCCCAGCGGCTGTTTAAACTGGAGCCCGCGAGCGTCTGTGGCACAAAACAACAGTGTGATCGCACCGCATACCTGCATCTACTGCTTCATACACTGAAAACACTCGCTGAAGAGGTTCTGCTCACATCCGGCCGAGGCCTTCACTCTGTTGATGGGAACCACGGCTTTTTTCTTCCCTTTGGCTTTGAGCTCAAACAGTGAGGATCGCTGAGGCTCTGCGGGTCCTTCATCATCATCATCATCATCCTCTCTGTGTTGATCTGTCATAGAAGTCATCATCTGTCTGCACGCTCGAGCCTGCAGAGCTCTGGAGATCAACACATTTCATGATGAGACGCGACGTTTCAAACGCTGTGAACACTACAATACAGTGACAGCAGCGTGAAGTCAAACTTCTGAAACCTGATACTCGAGACTGAAACTATTTCGTCAAAAAGAATAAACGTAGGGCTTTATGATTTGAGGAATTTATTGGACGGTGAAAGCGGTCTTTAAAGCCTGACATATGAGATAATAAGCCTTTAAGACAAAAAAAAAAGTTTGCATGTTTTGTATCATATTTGATGCTTTTATGGCTCAAAGTGAGAATATGGAGGAAAAAACAGTTTTATTCAAAGACTCAAACTGAGCAAACACATGCAATTTGCTGCAGAAGCTGATATTTATATGATGAAATTCTGATGCTTGTAATGTAAATCAGTGAGAGCTTTATTACAGTAGAGCAGATACTGACATGAAATGATATAAATCTCAGTCGTCGCCTGCTTTGTCCATTTAATGTACCTGCATTATAAAGAATCAGAATTATATATGATTTGCATATCAGAAGTCAACATGCGTTGCATCCGTCATCATCAAAGTCCATACCTGACCCAAACATCTAGAGGATCGTCTCCATCATACAGCCGCAGCTCCGACTCAAACGCTCTAACAAACACAGATTATATTAATGAGCTGTTCAGGAACAGGTCTCTAGTTGAATTCAAAGGTCACTCACTGTGTTTTCTGATGGAGGGCCGTGTGGTTTCCCTCCTGCTGCTGACACAGTGCCTGCTGCAAAGCTGATACGGAGCGGCCTTGTCTCAAAGGCTGGATATTTTCTTTACACAATTCCCATTCGGCATCACACTCTGCCATGATCTAGAAGAACAATAGCATGATATTGAATGGTTACAACCATAATCATATGCACTCACTGCTGTTCAAAAGTCTGGGATCAGTGAGATTTTTAATGTTTTCTCTTCTGCTCATCATAGCTGCATTTATTTGACCAAAAAAACTGTAATATTATTACCATTTAAAAAACTGATTTACTATTTTAACATACTTTAAAATAGAATTTATTTCTGTGATCAAAGCTGTATTTTCAGCATCATTACTGCAGTCTTCAGTGTCACATGATCTTCAGAAATCATAATAATATGCTGATTTATTATCAATGTTAGAAACAGTTTTGCTGCTTAATATTTTTTTTGGAACCCGTGATACTTTTTCAGGCTTATTTGATGAACAAAGTTAAAAAGCACAGCATTTAATTAAAATCTTAAAGTCTTTATTATCACTTTTTTATTAATTTAACACATCCCTGCTGAATAAAAGCATTCGTTTCTTTCAAAAAAATAAATAAATAAATAAAATGACTGACCCCAAACATTCGTTTCTTTCAAAAAAATAAATAAATAAATAAAATGACTGACCCCAAACTTTTAAATGGTAGTGTATATTGTTTACCCTGCTTATATTTTGAATAAATGCTGTTCTTTTTAACTTTATTAATCAAATAATCCTGAAAAAGTATCACAGGTTCCCAAAAAAAAAATTTTCTAATATTGATAATAAATCAGCATATTAGTATGATTTCTGAAGATCATGTGACACTGAAGACTGGAGTAATGATGCTGAAAATACAGCTTTGAACACAGAAATTAAATATATGTTAAAGTAACGTTATATTAAAATAGAAAACCGTTATTTTAAATTGCAATAACATTTCATAATATTACAGTTTTTTCTGTATTTCTGATCAAATAAATGCAGCCCTGATGAACAGACGAGACTGATAAGTTAATATCATGTCCTAAAAACCTACAAAAGCAACAAATCAAAGCTCTTGAAGAGATAAAGCAGTAAATAATGGACAAAACACACTAAAAAGTGACAGCAGATCAATGTGAATGAACACATCAGCGACGTAAGTTACACAAAACAAATATAACTTACATTTTCCCACCTGAAATATCCTTAATACGCTTTCTTCGCGTCTTTATGAAGCAAAAATGTACAAATGTGCGTTTATTTGATTTATTTCTTGGTCTTGTAAGATTGTGTTGTCTCTTCGCGATCGCATGCAAAAGACATTTGAACAAAAACCGGAAGCGCGCCGAAGAGATTCTGATTGGTCAACCGCTCACTTGACCTTCTCTAAAATAATAACAGGTTATTATTATTTTTTTTTTTATATATATAAACTTTTTTTAATGTATTATAATAGCGACATTGGTTTTTGACAGGTATTTTTGTTCGTCATAAATTTTGACAATAAGCAACACCAACCGTCGTGTTGCATGCTGGGAAAATGAGTTTTCCCGGTACGTTTCATCTTTAACAGTATTGATTGTTCTATTCGACATTGACAGATAAGATAATTTTAGGTAATTACTGTAGTGTCTAATAAGCCTTTACACTATTTTGCATGTATTGATCCTTTCAAACTACAATAGTTTTTATTGCTGCAAGCGAGAAAACTACATTTCCCTATACATCCCAGTCCACACAGCGCTTCCTGTGTTTACATGCTCTGATTCAAGAGAAGCGTCGTTGATAAAGTGCATCTGAAATGGTAACTCACACTAAATGTATGTGTTTAATTACAATCTTGAGCGTTTAAAGTCTCACACTGGCAACGTGTTTGCCTGAAGAATCTCAATATGGATAATCGCTGTTGCGGCTGTGCATCAAAGTTCACTCTCTTCAGAAAAGAGGTTAGCGAATATAAATACAGGTTATTTCATTTCACCGCCTGAGTTGAAAGCGTTTGACTCGGGTTTGTGTGTTTGCAGTTGGGTTGTAAAAACTGTGGCCATGCTTTCTGCTCTGGGTGTCTGGCATTCAATGCTGTGGTGCCAAAATATGGAAACAGCCAGCAGAAAGTCTGCAAACAGTGTTATGGAAACTTAACAAGGTCTGGAAGCCAAACACAGTTTATATTCCGACTAAACATTGGTTGTATACTCACTAATGCACAACTGACAGGTCTTTTTCTACAGCTCGGGCAACCTGACTGATGCTGGCAGATGGTCCCCACCTGAAAACTACAAAAAGTAAGAATCTGTAAGCATCACGTGACAAATACACCTGTGCGCCAGTGGAATAACACAGATCTGTGGCGTCTTACAGGCGAGTTGCTGCTCTTGAAGCCAAACAAGCTCCGCAGAATCAGCCTTCCAGACCTGCGGGTGCAAAAAGCAGCTCTGTGAGTCTGATTTCAGCCAGAGGACTCAGTAAAGAGGACCAGATCATCGCAGAACGACTCAACAAGCTGAAAGAGGAAACCAAGCCAAGTAAGATCTGTCAAAATCTGCCTTCTGAACAGCTTGATTTGTTTATATTGCTTTGTAATGTAAACTTTATTATCACCCAGCTCTAATCTGCCGAATGCAGCTATAATGCATGAAGATATTAAGATATTATAAGCATTAATGTCATGATTTTCAAATGCAAATGCAACTATAATGCATGAAGATATTATAAACCTTAACGTCATGATTTGCAAATGCAACTATAATGCATGAAGATATGAAGATATTATAAACCTTAACGTCATGATTTTCAAATGCAAATGCAACTATAATGCATGAAGATTTTAAGATATTATAAACATTAATGTCATGATTTTCAAATGCAAATGCAACTATAATGCATGAAGATATTAAGATATTATAAACCTTAACGTCATGATTTTCAAATGCAAATGCAACTATAATGCATGAAGATTTTATTTCAGCTTTTAATAATTTTATTTCAGCTAGTTGCCAAGGCAACATGTCTAATTTTTAATTAGTTTAAGTTGATAAAAATAACTAAAACTGAAATAAAATTAATAAACAGATTTAAATGTAAAAAAATGTATATTAAATATTAGTAACTATATAGACATATTTAAAACAAAAAAAGAAAAAGACTAAAACAATATAGAAAATATAAAAATAAAAACTAATACAAAAATAAAGAAAATTAATAAAATATATAATAGTATGTCAGTGATACTAAAATAACTCCGGTAAAACTTGTATAAATAAATTCAGTTAATAATCATTTTATTTAGTATTTAGTATTTCTCAAAGCAAAAAACAAACCAAAACAATAACAGAAGAATAAAACAAACCCACCAATGTAAAGTTCTCTTCTACGTCCCTGATCTGATGTGTTGTGTCTCTGTCTTATCAGAGTCCATACCATCAGAGAAGGAGCTGGAGTCTCGTCTCGCTGCGTTAAGAGCCCCGCTTCAGCCCTTCGTGCCGTCTGCTAAAGACATGGAGGAGCGTCTGGCTGCCCTACAGGGACGACCGTCGCCCTCTCAAGCCCCACGGCCTGTACTTCAATATCAGCTTTCACTACAAATGCTCTTGCCATGAGTGACACGACAGCATGCTTTCTGTGGATGTTTAATGTGTGCAGGTTCATCAGCCGCCAGACAGCAGGACTCAGACAGAACAGACCAATGATTTGATCGCCCAGATGACAGAAGAAGTTGCTATTGATAACCAGCATCCATCGTCAGAGGGTACTTTCACCATTTCTAATTGCCTAATTTATTTTCAGTTTTGAATTTTAATATCCTGATTTAGTTTTATGATAAATAATGCATTGCAGTTTTATAGTGTACATTAAAATTGATTTCAGGGCACAGGATTTCTCGATTTTATTAAACAATGAATGAACATAACAGTTCTATAAAGCAAAAAGCATCACAAAGCCATATGTTACAGTGATTTTAATGTGGTTAAGGCAAGACACTACATGTAAAACTATTGTTTTTGGGCTATTTTGCTTCCATGACATGTCCTATTTAATAGTAGTGTATAGAAAGCATCCAAAAATGAATTTAAGCGTTTGTTTTGTTGCACTCTATCTAATGCATCTGTAAATTTAAATTACAATTCATATCTTTAAAGGCTGTGAGTTTTTTTTTTTCCAGCAGCACTTGCACCAGGCTAATCTAATCTAATCTAATTTAATTTAATTTAATTTAATTTAATTTTTTGTTTATTTTAGTCAATTTTATTTTATTTTATTTTAGTCAATTCTGTTCTATTCCTATCTATATTTTAAAGGCTTTTATAGAGGGGTTTGTTTATATATCATTCAACTTATATAACATTTTATGGTAACACTTTACAATAAGGTTTCATGTGTTAACATTAGTTAACATGAACTAACAATCAGAGCATTTATTTATCTCATTAATATTAATTTCAACATATTAAAATACATGATTAAAATTCAAAGTTGTGTCTGTTAATATTACTTAATGGACCTGAGCTAACATGAACTAACAATTAACCATTGTACTTTTATTAATTAACGTTAAAAAACATTAATACATACTGTAGCAATATTGCTAATTGTCAGTTAATGTTAGTTAATGCATTAATGAACGTTAACTAATGGACCTTATTGTAAAGTGTTACCCATTTTATTTCTAAAAACATGGTGAAAATATATATTTTTTCTCTCTGTTGAATAAAATAAATAAAAATTAGACTAAATAAATTACATTGGATTAAAATATATGAAAATGAAAAAAAATTAATTAGAATAATTTAATAAACAAATAAATAATACTTCTAACAGGACAGTACTGTAGTAAGTAGAAAAAATATAATAATGTGACTTAATAGAAACTAAATATTTATTTATGCATGTTTATAATATTAATTTATAATGTTGTTAATCAGCTACAGTTTTTCCCCCTTCACATTGTGGCTGAGTAGAAATAAAATAAAAGTGTTATCTTAATAAAATTATCTTAAATCTTAAAATATTTTGAATATATTCAACTACTAATAGTAATAGTCAGGGTTATTATAGTTAACTAAAAACTTTTCACTTGAAATAAAATGTACTTTATCTGAAATAAAAGAAAATAGAAA